GGGGGGGGGGGGGGGGGGGGCACACTAATTAAAGAATTGCTTGAATCAGAAATAAATGCTGGAACTTTCCATGTTATCATGTAACACCCTCCATGCCTTGTCACCACACGTGTTGTATTCACCTCTCCCCCCTTCCCACCCCCTTTGAGAGCCTTCCCCCGCTTGATAGCCCCCGCCCCCGTTTGTAATCGTTTCAGTAACCGACACCGCTGACTACCTATTGATAATTACATACATAAAAATGCACACAAGTTGTTACAGGTCTGCAAACAAGTTGTTATAAATCTATTCACAAGCTGTCAAGCATGAAGCATGTTGTGTTCGCACTGCTTGTTCCTAGTTGTTGTAACAAGTTTGGAACAAGCTGTTAACATGTAACTTGTAACAAGCTTGATGGCATTATCAGACTTGTTACAAGGTTGTCCTGACAAGTCTGATGCAGTCACGATATAACAAGAATGTCACAAGGTTGTAACAATACTGCTATATCATGACTGGATCGGACTTGTTGGAACAACCTTGCAACAAGTCTGATAATGTCAACAAGGTTGTTGCAAGTTGTTGACAGCTTCTTCCAAACTTGTTGACAACTTGTGACAAACAATGCGACGGCTTGTTGGGATCTGAGACTTACTACACATGTAAAAACGCACAAGTTGTAACAAACCTGCAGCAGACTTGTAGCAATGCTGTTGCAACACCTTGTCATCAGGATGTGTTCGCACTGCTTGTTCCCGGCCTGTTGACAAGTTGTCAACGGCTTGTTGGCAACTTGCTACAAGTTTGTTGAGCTCAACAGACTTGTTACAAGTTGTTCCAACAACTTGTTATCGTCCTGCAATTCAACAACTTGTCAACAAGTTGTGAGTGACAACCTTGTAGCAACTTGATAAAATAACAGCATTGTTACAACTTGTTGACAAGCTTGCTACAAGCCTGTTGCGAACACATCTTGTTGACAAGCTTGCTACAAGCCTGTTGCGGACACATCTTGTTGACAAGTTATGAGATTTTTACGTGTGCACAAGAGTGCTTTATCAGATATAAAACACCAATGGCGGCGGAACAGATTTTATTTTGGGGGGGGCTAAATTTTTTTCCGTGATCTCCCCCCCCCCGTCGCCAAAAAATTTCGGTCACTGTACCATTTTAGGGGTACAAAAATTTTCCGGACATATACAAGAAAAGGGATGAAAAAATTTTTCCGGACCTATAACAAAAAATTTTTCCGGACATACACAATTTTTAAACAAAATATTGCAAATTTTTCCCCTTATACCTAAATTTTCAAAAAATACACTAAACTTTTCCTTAATTATCCAGAAAAAACAAAATTTTCTGGGGGGCTAAGCCGCCCCCCACTTTTACATCTGGGGGGGGGCTTTAGCCCCCCTAGCCCCCCTGTTTCGCCGCCCCTGTAAAACACACAAGGGTGGGTTGACTACAAAATTTTTGTAGTTCGCTATAACTACAGCTACTTCAAAAATATGTAGTCAGCTACAACTACTGCTACTTTTGAACAAAGGTAGTTCGCTACTGACTACAGCTACTGCTTAAAAAATGTAGCGAACTATTTCGCTATTTCGCTACACTATATTTTTTAGTTTTACTATATTTGGAGCATCTACTAACTCAGGCTGTAATGTAATCTATAACAAATCGACTTACGAGTAGCAACAGCCAACAATAAACACAAAGCAACATTTTTGTAAGCACTACAGTGTTCAGGAGTGCAAATTGACTATTGAGTATTGATTTTAAGCAAACTGTGTTTCAATATCATGGCGCCATTCCATCAGGTTGCTAACAATTTTAAAAAGTAGCGAATAGCGATTTGCTGTTTGAAAAGTAGTCAACTACTTGGCTACTTTTAGGCAAAATGTAGTTCGCTATAACTACAACTGTTTTAAAAAAGTAGTCAAAAACTACTGGCTACTTGAAAATTGTAGTTCGCTACAGTAGCGAACTACAACTACTTCGCTACAACCCACCCTTGAAAACACAACGGCTTGTTGACAACTTGCTACAAGATTGTTGAGCTCAACAGACTTGTTATCGCCCTGCAACTTAATTTGTCAACAAGTTGTGAGTGACAACTTTGTAGCAACTTGATAAAATAACAGCATTGTTACAACGTGTTGACAACCTCGCTGCAAGCCTGTTGGGAACAATCTTGTTAACAAGTTGTATAGTTTTATATAAGGAGCTAACTTCCACTTCAGGGCGCCTTATAGATAAAGTCGTTGGAAGCTTTTTCCACGAATATACTTTAACATTCACATATTGTTATGCTAATGTTGAAAAGAAATGAAAAAACTAATTTCTATTTAATTATAGGTTGAACTCAAACGATACATTGAAAACCATCATTGCGCAGAACGAGAAAGAGTTTAAAAAATGCGAAGAAATTGAGTCCGACTGTTCACAAGCTAATGACAATGAGAATGAAGACGAAATGGACAACCTTTTCAAACTTTCAGTCCTGTTCGTTCGCGGAAACCCTTTCGACAGTCTAAAACATTGGAGAATGCGATGTAGATTCCTGGATGCAAATCTCAGAATCGGAAGTTTGGGCAGGATACGCGAGGTCGATGAAGAATTTTTAAGTATTTCTGAGCAAGAAAATGGTTTCTCGTCAAGGCCGTTGTCAAGGCGAGGAGTTCGTTTGATTCAAGTGCAGCCCAAGGAGAATGAAATATTGCAAGAAGCCGTAGAAGCAGACGATGTTGGGAGTTCTGAACTATCAAAGGAATGCTGTATTGAAGAGCATTGCAAAGACAGCTCTAATGACTTGTGTGGTTTTTGTGATGATTTGGAAGGCATAATAGGTAAGTTATAATTCGTTATAGGGCAAAAACTGGTCGCAACGTAGAAATGTTGACAATTATAGCAAGCAAATCAAACCACATCTTTCTCTTGTAACCAAACCACATCTTCCTACGACGACGTAGATGAGTTGTGTGCTTGATTTACACAGTACAACTCAAGTTGTAAGCAGGTTGCATGCGACAGTTTTAGGCAAAAGTTGTGTAGTGCACGTAAATCGGCCTATATATTTATAACTTCCAGATACAAGGCTATTGCATATACGTGCAATGAAACGGAATGATGTGAGCCAGTAACCCAATTTATATGAAACACGGATCATCCTTTTTTGCTAATAGTATATCCAGACGCGCGAACTAGCTACAGTAGTGCGATCATAGTCTGTCAACGAATGGTCTGGAAGCCCGGCAATCTTCAAAGCCACAAAATAGAAGAGCTTTTTTTGATGTTGAACTGTACCTCACCGCGTGCACAAATCCTTTGTCTCAACTGACATTAATTATTATTCATCGTGGTTGCACGTTTCATCTCAGCTATCTTTATTGGACGGTTATTTCATTTGTACGAAAATACAATGAGCTCAATCACCGTGACCGCGCACAAAGTAACATAAACTCAGACAAAAACATAATACAATTACTTCTGTTCAGTTTCCAGACCATCATTAGTCATGATATAACAATATTGTTACAACCTTGTGACATCAACCTTGCAACATTCTTGTTATATCATGACTGTATCAGACTTGTTAGAACAACCTTGTGACAAGTCTGATAATGCCATCAAGCTTGTTACAAGTTGTTAACAGCTTATTCCAAACTTGTTACAACAACTGGGAACAAGCAGTGCGAACACAACTTGTCGACAGTTTGTGAACAGATTTGTAACAACTTGTTAATTGCAGGCGTGTAGCAACTTGTGCGTTTTTACTTGTGTAGTAGTAAACTGATATAGTTGACTGATATCGATGGACATATCAGTTTAAATTAAGGACACACGTTTAAACGCATGCACAAGTTGTTACAAGTCTGCAAACAAGTTGTTACAAAGACAAGTTGTGTTCGCACTGCTTGTTCCCAGTTGTTGTGACAATTAGTTTGGAACAAGTTTTTAACAACTTGTAACAAGCTTGATCATGGCATTATCAGACTTGTTACAAGGTTATTCTAAAGCCCGCCGCACACGAGAGCAACTTGCTCATCTTTAGGTCAGCAATCTAAATGTTCTTTTTATTTTAGAAACAGACTTGCCAAAAATCATTGCGTCCCAGACAGCTGTAGACGACAGCAAATTCAAATCTGACACAAACAAGAGCGTTACAAGTTTAGCCGACGCTATTCATCAACCCGACGAACGGAAAACATTTACATATAACAATTGTGGCAACGCAGAGGGATCCTTCCATGCGACACAACGCAAGGATCAAATTCCTGAACACCTTACAGACTTGCCAGAGACGGACGAAAGTCCAGAGCCTAATCAAACAGCAGCTATTGAAAGGCCTGGCTTCTTTACAAAAACCTTACGGAGAATAATGGCTCTGTTCCAAGCGAGGAAAGTTGATGTCTGGCCCGGACAAAACTCACAGTCATTTGTATAGTTATTATTTTCATTATTATTCTATTAAATATTTCTACATTACAAACAAAATTTTAAAGTAACTCCCCTTCCACTAAAATAAGATATGACAGTATAAAAAATTGTTTTTGTTACTACTTCCTCAATTAACACATAGAAGTTTATGCGAAAATTATCTTTTCTTCCTGTAATTTTGTACAGTGAAGGGCAACAGACTACACAAGCGGTCAAGCGGACATGGAAAGCGGACTTGTATCTTAGCTGGGTGCCATGATGGCATAGATCAAAGGTATATAAAGATGACACACCTTGATCGAAACCACTCGAAAGTAAAACACGAAACTATGATCTTTGGACATAACCCTTGAGATCGTTCCAGCCAATATTGCAAAGTATTAGCACATTGTCAAAACAAACTTCGTCACCCCCTCTCCCCCAATTCAATGTTGTAAACGGCGTAGAAACAACTTTTGATCATTTATATATCACGGCACAAGCTCGACATTGAGCTGGGGGAGCGAGGGCTTATTATAAAGAAGCATGATTTAACAATAGAACAAGAAGTTAGGAAACTCCGAATTTCCGAAACTCGATACAGACATAATAGACTTCATTATTTATGTTTTTGGGTAATCGTTCCATGTTTCGCGCCCCAATATAGTAAACGTTATGTAATGGATATTATAGTGTACTGAAAAGTTAACTGAATACCTCCATATACGTATATACACACACTAACCCTAACCTAACCCCTAACCTTAATACCTAAACCTAATACCTAACCTATAATGGTTCGCGAAATATGGAACGATAACCTGTTTTTGTCTTGGTTTATGCAAAAAATGTCCGGTTCATCGTCACGTGTGTATTGTTTTTTCACCAGAGCAAACAATCAACTGTATTTGATATATCGCGATATTGGTTGGTTGAGCGAAAAGACAATACACACGTGACAATAAACCGACAATTTTTTGATAAACCAAGACAAAAACATAGATATTAAATGAAGTTTTATACTATGTCTGCGTCGAGTTCCCTAACCTTACTCTATAATTTCTATTGTCTATGGTTAAATTAATCAATTGGCACTCAGTTATAGTATGGTGAAAGCAAGCACTAAACCAATCAAAAACAAACATTAAATTTTCTTTGTCTGATAGATAGATCGATCCGCTTTCAGAAAGGGAAAGTATAGTAGTCTGAAATAATATCCGGTCAATTGTTTCCGAAAACCACTTGATTTCCAAGTACATTCACACCCTTAGTTTATTTGGAAGCCGCCTTTTGTTTGTGGGCAGAGCGCCGGCTTTCGTTTTAGGGATTATTCCTTAAAAACAGGAATTTTGAATTGGACTCCTTTTGCCAATCCGAAATATAAAATAACATACGCATTTAAACGTGCGATTATTTTGTGAAATGCACAATTTATAGGCTGTTCATTTACAAAGCTACTATATAAATAAAATATGTGACTTTATAATCATTGAATCATTGATGAAGTCATTTAAGGTGGCTCCCTACAGTTATTCTTGTTTAAGCAATAATTCCGTAAAACAGGCTTATTCGTGCAAAACGCGAATTCTTTTCGACTTGGTGGCAATATTGGTCACCTAAGGAATATTTCGAA